GGCGCTGCATAGGAGCCAGGAAATGGGCCCTGACCCGAATACATTTACTCACAACTGGAGATGCCCCGCACTCGCTCCCCTTCTAGCACATGTGCATGGAGCCACCACAGGATGTGTGAATTACAGGGGGCCCCCAAGAAGCCGCTACTACTATTGTGGGGAGAGCAGCAGCCAAATCTTACAAAGGCTGGGAGTCATTTTCCCAGTGCCCAACAAACATAAGAGTCATCTCCTAAGGACCAAGTTCATACCGACCAACGGCGTGCTTGCCAGGGTAGGCCGTGAGTTGTGTCATTGCAGCAGGCAGTGGTGTGCAACGCCTCAAACATTGGTCTTACACCTGGATGTGGAAATCGCTTACTTCCAGCAACTACTCATTTTCCTTCCAATGCATTTCTGTGATGGGAACACAAAAGTGACTTCAAGAAGGAAAACCGGGAGCAGAAACCTGGCCGTTTTCCTGGGAGCTGAATTGCTCTGTGTTTCCTGACTGCGATATGCGATTGTCAACTGTGCTCGCACTGCGGTGGCCCCGCGCAGAGGCAAGAGGCTCCACGCCTGCCCTGGCCCCGCGTGGAAGGGGCACGGAGGAGGCCAGAGCGGCCGGAGAACAGGGGCCAGGGGCACTGCCAGTCCCGGGACAGTGAGGGCTCACGAAGGCAGGAGTGCCGTCCTGAAGGCAGCCAGCCCTCATGGTCCAGCGCAAATAGGACCAACCTTTAATCCAGTTGCCATGAAGACTGAAAAGGAAAAAAGAGAGAATGAATTCAACCAAAGGAGGCCAGGGCTTCTCTAGAAACACAACAATAAATCTACAGTTTCATGCGTATGTGCAGACCCAGCAGGAGCCCGCCTTTCTGGCCCGCACGCAGCCCCACACCGCACAGCACAACCTGGGGTGGTGTGAGGGGTCAGGGGAGGGAGGGACCTGGGTGGTGTGAGGGGGGCAGGGGAGGGAGGGACCTGGGGTGGTGTGAGGGGGCAGGGGAGGGAGAGGACCTGGGGTGGTATGCGGGCAGGGGAGGGGATGGCCTGGAGTGGTAGAGCCCACACAGCCTTTCTGGATGCATATTTAATGAATGCTCAAAAAAGGCATGAGGGATTTATCCCCAGTAAATTTACTAAAAGTCACATGAAGCATCTAGCTCTCAAGAAGTCACCATGCCTATCCTATATAATAAAAGTCTAATATGCAAAGTGTTCGACTGAGTTCAACCAGTCACTGTGATGTGCGCTGACCACCAGGGGCAGCGGGGAACATGGCAGGTGTTGGTGACGCGGTGCTGGCAGTGGGCAGCAGTAGAGGCACCGCCAGCCCCGATGGACCCAATGAGAGCAGGACCGTGGTGGGATGGTGGAGCAGGTGAGCAAGAGGTGCCAGGCCAAGGTAGGTGCGAGCAGGGGCTGATCTCCCCGCCTATTGCCCTGCAGACGGCAACCGGTGGCAGCGGTGGGGGAGGAGGGGGCATGCCGCCTGGCTCCCAAGTTCTGAGGGAGTGATTACGGGCCCAGCTCCAACCAATCGCCCCACAGAGGGTGACCAGTGGCTGGCAGCCCCTGATCACCTGATTGGGGCTGGACCTCAGGCTAAGACAAGGAACTGGGGGTGGGTGGTGGTGACCAACCTCCCATGGTGCCAGGGTGGGGGGCTGCGACCTCTCACCAGCTACCTAGGGTGCCTGGGACGGAGGTGCAGGGAGAATGTGGGTGTCTGCAGAACTTGCTGTCACTCCCCCTGCTACCCTCTCCCTGGATGCCAGGGCTCTCGTGCCAGGGACGCCCCCACACTCAGGTGCCGGGCACCCATGAGGAGCCTGCCCCACACCTGCACGGCCTCTTCCAGGTGAGCCAGGCCGCAGTTGCCAGGACCACATAGGCTGGTCGGGCTCCCCGTGAGTTCGCAAAGGATCCAGTCTGCAAAGCCAGCTGGGAGAGAGCATGCTGCCTGCCTGGTTTCTGTGCGGCACCTCTGGGTGGCCCAGAGGTCCACACTGCACCCCGGCCTGCAGCGTCTGGCTGCGCTCACTGCCAGGCTGTGTGAGGACTTGCGCTCTGTGACTCAGGCGGAGGGGGCTGTATGGGGCACGGGGGCTCAGGTGCTGCCCGGGGACCAGAGGTCAGCTGGGACCTGCCTTTCTATGCCAGATGCTGGTGCTTCAATCACTGGCCAGGCCTAGGGACCGCACCTGTGCACGAATTCATGCACTGAGCCTCTAGTTAATGTATAAAGGCTCTGAGAACTCCTGCACAGGAAAAGTGAAGGGATCAGTGGAGCAGAAACTGAGCTCCCTGACCTGGCTCTGCACCTCGCACCAGAGAGCACCCTGGAAGCAGCTGGAGGGGAACCCGGGGCCTGTCTGGTGGGGAGGCCTCCGACAAAGTGCCTCCAGGCCCTTCGAGAAGTCCATTCCCCAAGGATGGTGTGGAGGGGTCACTCTGGGAGATGTTCCTGGTGACAGTGACGTCTGTTTGTGTGCCTCTGACGCTGACACCCACGAGGGCCCAGGGTCAGAGTGGGGGCTCAAGGATAATCTGGAAGCCCTCTTGCCCCTCTTTGGGTCTCGGATGAAGCAAGTCTGTGCCAGGGAATTTTGCTTTCCTTCCAGATGGTGTTGGTTTAGTAGAAAATAATGCCAGCCACACATACAATTTTACATTTCCTAACAGCAACATACAATTGAAATAAATTGTAATAATGTATTTTATTTAACTCAATAGGTGCAAATATTTTTATTTCAACATGTATCCAACACACAAATGTAGATGTTTTTCTTTTTTTATGTGGTGTTTGAAATCCAGTGTGTATTTGATGCTTCACACATCTCAGCTCAGACCACCACACTTCCAGTGCTCAGCAGCCGTGTGGCCGTGGAGGCTGATGGGACAGCTGTCAAAGGGACAGCCAGCTGCCGACGGGCAAGCTGCAGCCTCATCCCAGAGAAGCCGGCACCCAGGCCGCCCTGCCATATGGAAGCGCCTGGGCTCAGTTCCTACTCCTCCTCAGTGATGGTTAACTCGGGGTCAGTGTGACTGGGCTGAGTGTGACCGTGACAGGCGCTCCCCATCGCTGAATCAAACGGAATGGTGTTTTCCGTGTGACGCAGGAAGCGGAGCAGGCCTCAAGCTTCTCAAAACTGGACAGACCAGGGTTGGAGTCCTATTGCGGGGGGAGGGGGTGCATGTGAGTGTGACAGACCCCGCTCATCCACTCCTCAGATATGGATCAGGGGCCCCATCCTGAGCCACTCAGGGCTGAGGGGAGAGGCCCCCACTGGGAGTCTCCTGGGACCCACGCCTCCTGCACACCCTCCGTGGGAGGGCCTGGAATGCCCCACAGTCACCTGTACAGGTGAGAGCTCTCCAAGGCACGGGCTGGGCAGGAGGCCATTTGGGGGGTCAGCTCAGAGCAGGTCCAGAGTGGGCCCAACCCACCCTGAGGAGTGCAGGCTCGCCTCTGCCCCAGCCTCCCTCCTGCCTCGGTTGCTCTGCCGTAGCTCCTGGCTGCGTGGAGCGCAGGCCCACAGAGGCCAGTGTGCCTGCTTCTCGGGGGTCCGGCCTGGCAGAGAGCAGAAATTCCGCTGCTTCGGGGTGTGGGGTCACCCAGCCATGTTCCCCATTTCCTGCCCACAATTTCCTGCCTTTTTTTTTTTTTTTACCAAGATGCCCATCCCCTGCCTATTGCTACGAGACCCCAGCTGCTGATCATTTAAGATTCTGGTTTTCCTCCTGAAGCATGGGGGCGAGTACTCCGCCTGCCACCTCCCAGAGTTGTTTGGAGAGAAACTGCCAACAGCAGGAAGACGTTCCTGACAGTGTGGGCCTGAGAGGGGTGGGGGCTGGAAAGGGGGGCCTGGCCCCGAGGCCTCGCACAGGCCCCTCCGGCTCTGTGAGTCTGGAAGAAACACACTGGGACGGACCTAGAGGCTTCACCTTGGCCGGCAAGACGTCCAAGCAGCCAGGAGAGGCCCAGCCAGGAGCCAGCAGCTCTGAGCTCCGGGGCAGCCTAACGTCGGTTGCGTCCTGCCCAAGGCAGACCCATCATTATGCTCACAGTCACACAGGGGCCCCCAGCCACCCCTCAGAGGTGGGGGCCAGCTCTGCCCCTGGCCGGCCCGGACTCGGCCTGCCCCCTGTCTCAGCCCTGCCTGGGTCATTTTGCTACGTCCTCTTGCTTTTGTTGTTTTTTTAGCAAGATTTCCAAAAGGACGGCAGGACACCCACTGCTGTCCCACAGGCAAAAAGCCTAAACTTAATACCGGAAGCATTTAATTTAGTGGAAATGATCACAGATGAGCCGAGCAGTGCTGGGACTGTGGGAAGGGGTGCTCCTGGCGGGTGCAGCACGAATAGCTACGTGGGCCTCGGAGAGGGAGCAGGTGAGGACTGGAGTGGGGGCAGGCGGAGCAGAGGGAATGCCCCCTCCACCATGCTGTCCTGCCTCCTCATCTGACCTCAGACTTCCAACATGAAAGCCTGTGATTTCTGTGGGGAGACTGGTTTTTAAAACACAATCTCCAGCATTTTAGGATTTCCTTTCTCATGGACACATGGGGGGTGAGGGGGTGTTGGCTTCCCTTCAGCGAGCACTGATTGGTGCTGCACCCGGTCAGGCCTGGTCCACGGGGAGCTCCAGACTACACGTTGGGTGTGCAGTTCTCCGGAGCCCTCTGTGCCCTCACCTCGAGGAGAGACAGGTTCCTGTGTCCGGGGAGAGACTTGCTGTGCGAAGGGGTGGCCACAGACCAAGAGACCCCGCCGCCTGCTAAACTGCAGGCAGGACAAAACCTCTAGACGTGCCCCAGTGAAAGGGCTGGATGATGCATCCATTGGGCGCTTTGTTCCAAAGAGTCACTTCCCTCTGTCCTGGGAGTACATTCTTGAAGAGCATGTGGCCAACAAAGGGCGCCCTGGATTGCCCTTCCGAAAGAGAAGGAAGAAAACAGCAGGCAGGGCCGCGCTGGCAGCTTCTGTCCCGCCGCCTCCTCCCGCTGCCTCTGCAGCTCCTGGGAATGTCCCTGAAAAGCAACGCCAAGGTCCCGGACCCTGAACCACACTGCGGGAACCAGGCTGTGGATCTGAGGGCTAATAATGAAATACGGAGCACAGAGCAGTCGGTACAAGACAACCCAGATGCCAGCACCCGGGCCGGTGTCAGTGGGCGAGGTTTCAGAGGCTGTGGGACAGGCCAGGATCTGCCCACACACTGAGGCTCAAAGGAGATGGGGAGGCCCGGGCACTCTTAGCACTGAGCCGGGGGCTCCGTGCAACCCGTCCTCCAGCTGCCGGCAGTGCCCTACCTCACTGGGAAGCTGGAGGTGGCACAGCAGGCACAAAGGACAGACGGGGTTACTTGGTGGCAACAAAAACACCAAAGCCATTGCGGATGCCTTGGGTTTGGAGACATGCTGAGGAGGGGGACCCTGCCTGAGAAGGAGTGAAGGTGGGAGTGAGGAGGGTAATGGGGGGGTTCCCCCTCGTTGCTCTGGGATACTTGCCAGGTGCCGCGTGCCGGGCTCAGTGCCGCGCTCAGGGTCCGTGCGGGGTGTCCCAGCCCCTCCTCTGAGCCACACTCCAGGCCTGGAGGGGCTGTGACTCAGGTCTGCCCTCTGATCCGGGAATTTTAACGGGTACAGCTCTTGACCCCGGGTCACAGCATGTTATGAAGTTCAAGTCCTCTTTGGTCCATGAGGTGGAGGAGGCAGATGTGGAGAAAGGGTGAGTGCAGTGTCACTGCAGGAAGCACAGGGGCTGTGGCTGGTGACCTTGGGTTTGGCTCAGAGGCCGAGACTAGCAGGAGGCAAAAGAGCAAGAGACAGCGCCTGTGCCTCCAGGTCCCCTCAGCTGTGGGCGAAACGGCCAGACGGACGAGCTCGGGGGCCCTCCCGGTTTAATCAGCACAGGAGTGATGGACCCAGGATGCTGTGGAAGAGCTAGGGACCCTGGGTAATTTTCAGACATGTTCAGCCCGTCCTACAAAGGCATTCGCATCCCACATGGGCTCCGCGTCCGGGCCTGCTCCTCGCCTCCGGGCTCTGCCAAAGGCTGGCGTCTCCCGTACGGAGAGCAGAGGGGTGGGTGGGAGGTGCTGTGAGAACCTCCAAGAACCTTTGCAGCTGTAACTGGGGATTTGGGAAGCTTCGCAGCTGAAACGGACATGGGGCAATCGCCTGGCCATCACCCGCCTCGAGGACAGGCTGAGAGCTGGCTCCGGGCACAGGGTCATCGCGGAGGCGCTGCCGGCCTGGTTGCCCTGGCACCAGCCTGTGCTTCGTGGTTGCCCTGGCACCAGCCTGTGCTTCGTGGTTGCCCTGGCACCAGCCTGTGCTTCATGGCAAATATGTTGCTGCAGGAAGGGATGCGAGTCTTGGATCTTGTGACCAAGCTGTGGATCGCGGGCTCACGGTGAAGGAGCGCTTTCCCAAAGAGGCGGTTTCTCTGGTGACTCCCAAGAAATTAAACCGCTGGGCGGGAAGGCTCTCCCCTGAACTCCTCTGAGAGGGTGAAGATCTTTGTAAGGCTCGGAGAAAGGGCAGAATACCTCCAAACAATGCTGTATTGAAATGAGGCTGGGCTAGAAATGCAAACCGCTGGGAGGCTGCTCAGAAACCACAGGGCAGTCAGGCAGCTGCTGAAGGAGTTAGTGCGGCCACTGTGGTATTTCCCACGCTCTGGGCCCCTGGCTCCCTCCTTACAGGCATATACTCGGAGCAGGTTTCACTCCAGATGGGCTCCCGGCATCTCTCTCACCCAACAGCGGAAACTGTGAAAGTGCTCAGGAAACAGCAGTTAGAGGGGTTAACTCTTGGTAGCACATTTGCTCTTCTCAACCAAAGAGTTCCTTGTATTTGAAAAAACCTTTCTCCCTCCCCCACCAACATAAAGCTAAGCTCTGGAAGATATAATTCGCATTTATCAACATTTTTCAAAATGACATCAAAAGCTGCTCTAGCCTGTGCCGAGGCCCCTCGCTGGAAGTCTGGCAGCCGGTTCTGTCTTCTGAAGTAGCCCACATCCCCGCCCCAGCGAGGGCTCCGCGCTCCACCTGGCCGCAGGCCCCGAGGACACCCTGAGCCAAGGTGGAGAAACCCAGCCCACCGTCCTCGCCTGGGCGACCGTCCGTCCCTATAACCACGCACAGGTGCCTGGGCTTGTTTTACCCCAGACCAAAGATGGAAGATTCAGAATAGAGGGCCCAGCTAGAGGCTGCCTTTCACGGAAGTTCAGCTACCAGAGACCTAGAAAGGGATGGTGCATGATCTTCACTTCTGGGTGCAACCACATACCTGCGCCTTGAAGTGCGTCTCCTGTTCAGATGTCCCACCCAATATACACACTCACACATGCACACACACAGGCTCAGGCACACTCACACACGCACATACACAGGTTCAGGCACACTCACACACACACGCACACAGGCTCAGGCACACTCACACACATGCACACACACAGACTCAGGCACACTCACACACGCACACATACACAGGCTCAGGCACACTCACACACGCACACATACACAGGCTCAGGCACACTCACACACGCACACATACACAGGCTCAGGCACACTCACACACGCACACATACACAGGCTCAGGCACACTCACACACGCACACATACACAGGCTCAGGCACACTCACACACGCACACATACACAGGCTCAGGCACACTCACACACGCACACATACACAGGCTCATGCACACTCACACACGCACATACACAGGCTCAGGCACACTCACACGCACTCACATACACAGGCTCAGGCACACTCACATGCACACACACACACAGGCTCAGACACACTGACACACACACACATACACAGGCTCAGGCACACACACAGGCTCAGGCACACATGCACACACACACAGGCTCAGGCACACTGACATAGGTGGTGTAGGTGGCCCCTGCCGGTTAGCAGTCAGTGGGAGCTGGGGATCACCCCACCCCCTCCTCTCTGTGGGTGGATGGCTGCTGTGAGAGCACATGAGTGCAGCTTCTGAACATCCCCATTAGCAAGCAGCGGGCAGGGCAGCTCTTCATGTCAGTTCAGGGAACTCCAGGGCTCTGTCCTTCCGGGCCTTGGGAAGGTCTCTTGCATGGAAGGTTTCCTGAAGGCAGATGTGGTGGTATTTCAAGGGTAAAACCATCTCAGCTACTGATCAGATCAGGCAACAGAATCCTCCATTAAACGGCCGAGCTACAACAACAGGAGTCGAGGGCTCCCCTATTTCTGAATTCGTGCATCAGTGGGGTCCCTCAGCCTGGCCTGCAGGATTGGGCCAAAACTGGCTCTCCATCACCCCCTGAGGGGTCCCGGATTGTGAGAGGGCGCAGGTCAGGCCAAAGGACCCCACCAGTGCACAATCTGGGTCAGGGAGGGACGCGGGAGGTTGGCCAGCAGGAGAGGGATCACGGGAGGGCTCCAGGGCATGTCTGGCCTGTCTTGCTCAGTCCTGATAGGCCAGACCCCAGCAGCAAGCTAACCTACTTGGAGCGTCTGCCCCTTGGTGGTCCTTGCACGTCATAGCCAGCGGTTGAGCTGCCTTAGCATATCATTAGCATATTAAGCTTTGATTGGTTGAACAGCCAACCGAACGACCAGACACTTAGCATATTAGTCTTTTATTACATAGGATGAGAGAGCTGGAGTTGGTGGAGTCGAAGCACCCGCCCCCAGGCTCCGGACTGCATTCCCTCACATCTCTCACCGCACAGCCTAACATGCTGGTGCAGCCAGAGCGAGTGGGGACAGGCTGTCAAGTGCTTCCTTCGAACACGTCCTGAATCAGCCACCCCCACATCTCTGCCAGCTGTCTCTCCCCTGGACCATGCAGGAGCCTCCCACCTACCTCTCCCCACCCCCGCCGGGCACTGTCTCTCAGGAAGTCAGAGCGACAAGTGCAAATTAAATAAGGTGTCTCCCCTGCTCAAAATCCTCCTGAGACTTGTCACACTTAGATAAAAGCCAAAACGCTTTCTGGGCTGAAAAACTGCCCCCACCCCGTGGCCCTGTCCCTGGCCACTTCCTCTAACCTCATGCCCACGGCTCCTCCCTCCTTCCTTGCCCTCCCACTCAGTGTCTGGTGGCTGTTGTTGAACCTCTTCACTCCACACCCACACCTGACAGTAGCCACTCGTTGGATGCCCTGTCCCTTGGGGCCTGGGGGATGGCACCTCGGAGAAGCCTACCTGGCAGCCTATGTGAAACAGCGCCCCCTGCAGGTGAGTCCCAGCTTGACTTTTGTCTGGCCTGAAACTGCAGTGTGTCCATTTGCGCTTCTCTTCTCCCTTAGAAGGCAGCACTCGAGGCAGGGCTTGTCTGATTTCCCTGCAGCTCGTCTCCAGGGCCCGGGGAGTGTCTGGCAAGTGGGAAAGTTCAGCAAAACTTCTTCAAACAAATAAGTAAACGAATGTGCTCAGTCCCAGAACCTGTTGCAAGTGACAAACGTCAGTGTACAACTTTCAAATGACTCCTTCTACATGGCCCTGCCCTTCAGCCGTGGGGGCTCTGCGTCCTCGCCCGTACCTGCGTCTCCAGGCAGGCGTCCGGGAGAATTAAAGGGCTGGGGGGCCACAGTTTCTTACTTTTGGACAATAGGCTGGAAGCCAAAGTGACTTAGGTTGTTTCTGAGCAAAGATTTGGTTTCCGGTTCCCGCACCTCCAGAACTCGCTCTGCTGCAGAGACCACGCTTCCGGCCGCAGGGCAGGAGTGAGCCGGGGGAGCACTGCCAGCGGGGCCCTGAGCGAGGCAGGGAGGGCTCCCCACAGCCCACTCCCGATGTGCACTCACGGAAAAGCAAACGTGCCTGTGCTAAGCCACTGAGCTTTGGGGCTCAGGTGTTGCCTGATTGTCACCTCGTCCAATCTGACTAATACTCGCTCGGTGCTGACGGGGCAGGTGATGGCAGCAAGAAGCGGCCAGGTTCCCAGTGCTCACTGCGGACCGCCCGCGGCAGCAGAGAGGGCAGTAAGCTCTGATGGCAGAGCACGGTGGTGTGAGAACTGCCTTTACTGAGAATATCGGCTTGGGGCGTGGATAGGGAGTCAAATAAAATCGTCAAGCGAAGTCACCCAGCGGACTACCCAAGGAGGGTGTAACCTGGACGCCTGAGTCCAGGCCAAGGACAGTGAGCACTGAGCCAGCTACCCTTCTATCGTTTTCCCGTTGCCCTGGCTTCCATGACTGAACACAGCCAGAGGCCAAGGCCACCAATGTGTGACGGCTACTTTGGCAGCAACACCTGCGCCAGGTGGGGAAAGGCTCTCGGGACTGAAGTGTCTTCCTGCATTGGCCGTGGCAACATTTACAAAAGCACCCGGGCTATGGGAACGCCCTCCGCGTGTCACAGAGTGACTGCCACTGGGAAGAGCATCATCAGCCGCAGAGCCCCCTGCAGTTTAGCTGTCTTCCGCTGTTGTGTCCCCATCCCGCCCAACCCGCTAGCAGCCATAAACGGGAGAATTGGATGGAATCGGGGATCAGGACCCCAGACTGAGGCCGGTTGAGAAGTGGATCCAGGCAACAATCCCCACCAGATGCTAAAGCGCTTCAAGGAAGGACTGATGGCCACCTTCAGATTGGGTGGAGCAGGCTGCTCAGCGAACATCCCAGAAGGGGGGCAGCCTCTTCATGGGGTGCAGCCGGGAAACAGCACCACCATGAAGAAATGTTGTCAGAAGAATTGACTCTGAATCTCCTCAAGCCTAAAATG